AAAAAAAAAAGAAAATATCGGTGCATACCAAAGATTGACTTGATTGTCGGTCTTTTTTGTTTGCCGCTTTTTTTCTTCAATTCAGCTACACGTTAAGAGAGAGAATCAATTATTTCCGTGAGTAATCTCCCTCTTCAGAACATGCCAACTAGAACTTGGAGCAAAAATGTGTGATCTTAAAAATGCTTGAGGTGTAAATAGTGAAGGTAGAGAGAGATAGAGAGATTGCTTCAAAACATTTTCAAATTTAAGTTTAAGGATGTTTAGTGAAATCTGTGTGGCCCTAAGAGTGCTAATGACTTATATACAAGGAAAAATTGCACAAACCACCTGTAAACTATGGGGTTTGTTACAATTAGAGTCCTAAGAACATCAACATAAAATGATAAGTTGGAAAGATCTGCTTATAAAGCCAGAAAGTAAATATTTCAACCGAATGTGAGAGGACATACCCATCCCAGGCAATTGATAATCATTGACAATTTCGAAGTTCTTGTAAGTGTATCCAACAAAGTTGATGTCCTTAGATGAGAGCATCTGATACAAAACAAATCAAGAAGGGAATAAGAGAAAGACAATAAGAACACACTGTAAATTCGGAAGATCATATCAAAATATCTTAGATGAAAAAAGCAATATTTGGTATGGAAATTTGGCACGAATTTTAGGAAATCAAAGATCACTTTTGTTATTGACTTGTTGCATATATACATACATATATATAGTTTTTATTTAGAAGCCAACACCTCTTCGTGCCTATCTTATTATTATTACTTTCTTCTGCATCACTTTCTGCAAAACAATCTTTCTGAATCCACCGAAGTTTTTTTTTTTTTTTTTGGGAGATTAATAGCTTCTTCAATCAAGGCATAAAACCCTTGGACTTAACTACTTTCTATCAATTTTCTTAGCTAGGAACCATAAAATCATTTGATGGCTATGATCTCAAGTTCGATAAATTGGGGAGCTTAGAGAATAGATAACTAAAACATTATCATCTCAACAATCGGTGTTGAAGGAATGATCTTAATTATGTCGATGTAATTCTTCTGTTAAAGTTAGGATATATTTGTGTAATCCCTCGACCTCACTAATTTATCTTGTTGCGTAATATACTTATTTAGATTTATTGTTATATTTATTTTGATTTACTGTTACTAGTATATGTGAGTTTATTCGGATTTATTGTCACCTCATATCTAGGGAATATAAACGGCACATGTACGAAAATAAATATGAAAAGCAAGCTAGATAATTTAAACCGGTAGAACCTTCTTCAAAGGTTGTTTGACAAGGAGTTTACTTGTCTAAACCATAGTGGAAATAAGGGCAATATGAATGAATAGAAGAAACGCTATATGAATTACTAATACTTAGTGTTACCTTTCTCCATGGACCAGATTTAGATGAAGAACTGCTTTGCAGGTCACACTGTAGATATAGAAATATGAACAAAAAGTAAATGAGAAAATGAGCAAAGCAACTTGCTCTGACAAATTAACCAAAGATAGTGGGAAATCATGCTACCTCTTCAAACTTTTCAAAATTTTGAGTGTCTAGCTCATCTTTAACCTCGGGAACAAATGCAGCTTCCATTTCATATAGCCTATCCCATTCAATACCTTCAAACCACGGATGAACCTAGATGATAAATTGGCAGGCAGGAACCTTGAGATTATTTAAATTTTTCCTAATTAAACCAAAAGAAATTAAGAAATGGACACACCATACAACACCTTAATGTCATCCGCGCCATTTGTACCTAGCCTCTCGTCAACATTGCATAGTAGTTTGCTGATAAGATCTTTTGCCAAGGGAGATAGCTTTGCTTCATCAGGGAACACCAAATGAGTTCTCCAGTTCACTATCTGGAAAGAATAACAACGCAAAATAAAATTCATATGAGTTACATAGGACTTCACGGAGTATCTAAAAATTCTTTTTTTTTTTTTTTTTCTTCACATTAAGCGACCACAAGATATGAACGGAGGCAAGCTACAAAAGATTATATAAATTGAGGATAAAAATTCAAAATTGGAGAGGAAAGTTACCTTCCGACATGTCGACATTGGATCATCAGAGTAAAAAGGTGGGTAGCCAACAAGCATTTCATACATAATAGCTCCAAGTGACCACCTAATATTTGGAAGGAAAAAAATCATAAATTGTAAAAGACTACCTACAAAATTTGCTCCAAAATGTTGCTATGGTAGTTGCAAAAGGCGTCGTGCCAGTACAATGTTGCAAATCAAATTGCAAACAAATTGATGCCACTCCAAATAACCTCCATCTCTTTAGCAGTTGAGATATTGAAAGGTCATTATCATAAGATCTATTATATTCACCCTTAATAGATGTATAATAGTTTAGAATTACCAGTCACATTCCATGCCATAACCTTTCTTCAACAAAACCTCCGGAGCAATATAATCTGGTGTTCCAACTGTTGAATAAGCCTGAAATTCCAATATACCATAAGGTAAAAGAAGAAATCATGTGCGCCTAAACAATCAGGTAGATTTTCTATAAAAAAAAATAATAATTCAATGATCCATCAACTTGACCTGATTGAGAAGAGAGTAACAAAAGCACCCTAGGGGTAGGAGAGGCCCCTCCCAAAGAGAAACTAGTGAAGCACAACCTTCCAATCTTGAAGGGTTAAAGCTAATCTATGGTTATAAGAGAATTCCTTGTGTCTAAATCCCCATTTCAGATATTTAACCAAGAAAATGAAGTTCTGTACAAGGAATTTCCTAAGACCCCAGTTAATAGCGGAGCACTAGAATAAGCGAACAGCCAACCGTGAAACAAATCCCTTCACAACTATAGGTTCACTTTAACATATGCCATCAAAAAGAAAAATAAGAGAATCAAACTTTGGTGGGAGAAAGCGTACAAGCATTCTTCGATTCTTCTGCCAATGTTGGAGTTGCTCTTGTTGAGTACGGGGAGCTGCATTACGCTCATCACTTTGTCCAGCTTCATTACGGACACTCCCTATATCAAGATCTTGTTCTTTGAGTTTACTGCAATCTAATGGTTTGCACAGTCCAAAGTCCGAGAGTCTCAAGTGCCCAAATTTATCAAGCAGCAAGTTGTCAGGCTTAATATCTCTGTGATACAGAACAACAGAGTTAGCTTATATTTCAAAATTGAAAGGAACAATTCATGATAAGTATCCAAGGGAGTTAATGCACTGAGCATAAAAGTCCAGAGACCTATGAATGTAATTGTGCTTATGAATAGATTCAACAGCCAAAACTATCTCTCCAACGTAAAACCTTGCTTCATCATCAGTCAAAGTATCCTTTCTCATCAATAAAGTCATCATATCTCCACCAGGTAGGTACTCCATGATGAGATAAAGAAACTCGTCATCTTGAAAAGAACAATAGAGTTTCACGATACAATTGCTGTCTACTTCAGCAAGCAGATTTCTTTCAGCTCTCACATGCTCCACCTGAAAGATCTCCAAAACTGCCCATAAGCATGCAGAATAATAAGTTCTGGAATACTAGATGGGGCAGGCCACCACAAATTACCTGGCCCCTTCGAAGCATCTCTGATTTTTTAAGCTTTTTCATAGCATATACCTGACCTGAAGTCTTCTCTCTACATACACGAACCTACAAGATCAGGAACATAATATACTTATGAAGTTACCCCCAAAATAGTAACTACACAAATAAATATGGTTTAAAAATAGTTTTGATTCCAAACTTATAATTCTTTTTCATTTTTCTCCTTTAATTTTTTTAAGTGAGGATCTAGGCTTGTTTATGTACGTTGTCAAGATTGGACTTTAATATTAGGCGGGCACCATGAAGTTTGAATTTGTTCTCATTCATATACCCCAATGACCATAAGGCCAATCCTATGGTTGATCATGTTAGTTCCTTAAACTTTTAGACGTTCAATTTTGTCTCTTAAATTTTATCCACCTCCCATTTCGTACCTACAAAATTTTCAACTTCTATTTTAAACTTTACATTCAATATTGGCTACAAAAGTCTACTGTTATTCTAACTTACTGGAAACAAGAAGGAACACCATTCATTATCTATATTTTTAGGTTGAGCTGGTGGTTGGCCTGATAGACTTGATGAATTTGTCTCAGCTGGTTTTTGGTACACTTCAGGAATAAGGAAAGATTTCTGTGGTCTAATATTGTTATGGATTTCTCTGGAAGCTGTAGAACAGAGAAACCAGAGGGTCTTCGAAGTGTGCGTTCTCAGCGAGTTATGTGAGTGTATTAGACTCCGCATATCCCCCGTCTGGTGTTCTCTCTATATACTTTTATAATTATGATATTTTTCATATTTCGGCCAATTGGGATTCTTTTTTGTAACCCTTTGACTTGGTAGGGATACTCATCTCCCCTTTTGTACTTTCCCTTCATCAATATGTTTCTTTTCTTTTGTTTGTTATAAAAGAAAAAACAAAACAAAAAAACAAAAAGAAGATATTTTAAACAATAAAAGATAAATAAAAAATCTTGAGAAATACAGACAAAATGGAGTAGTTTATTCCACATGGCATGAACATGATAAGCTCAAGTTGTTCGTTAAAATTTGACTTTTATGACGCATTTGTTTTTCTAGTTGTGTAGTTTAATCTAACTAGTTAAACTACAAACTTGAGCTCGAGGATTATGAGTATGTTCCCAAAAGTGTAGTCACAGAGATTGAGGAGTATACAATTTCAACCTGAAACTATCCAATAACAGATATGATTTCCATTTAATGGGAGCCAGGGGGGTTGAGAGCTGTAGAAAAGAGAATTTATACATAAAAAATGTAAAACATACCTCCCCAAAAGCACCTTTGCCGATAATTGTTAGTAAATCAAAATCACTGACACCCATTTTGTGCCTTTTGAGGCGCATATATTCAGTTTCCTTCTTCTCTAAATACTTGAGTAAATTGTTTTGATCTTCTTCAGAAACATCAGCATCAGCCAACTTCTTTTCCAATATATTTCGTCTGCATCCGTAAAATATATATCAACAAAACTTTATACCCATTCGAAGCTACTCAAATAAGAAACCTATAACTTGGAAGTTTCACATGTATGTTAAAAATCAGGGCTAGAAAGTACAATAATAGCTCTTGTTATTAGTTATGTACAAATTGTGTACTTTATATTAATATAAACAATGATAAGGAACGATGGATGATTAATAATTTGAGAAAAGTGCTAGAGAATTCAAGAGTAAGCAAGCTTTTCTTCAAGGTTAGCAGAAGAGTTTCTGTACTAAAGTCCAGAGGTAGACAGTACGCATATCTGAATGATTCAACTATGCATATGAAGAAAAAACAACAAAAACAATTATGCATATCTGAATGACTCAATTATGCAAATGAAGTTGCATCATATGGCTTCGGTTTGTCGCTCTCTGTTTTGGCTCCCAAATCCTACAGCGGTTGTGGCTTGTACTTCTTTGTTTCCAATCCTTTGTGTTCTCCCTCTGCTTCCCCATAAGCCCCTGTGTTCTCTTTTAGAAGGTCAAAGTCTTCGCCGGATTGTATTCAAAGACACTCTTCTTCGTGTTTTGGATCCACAATGGTGCATTTCAGAATTAGAGGATATTGATCCCTTGTTCTAGAGTTGCAAGTTTGTGCAGTTCAATTGGGATCGTTTCTTAGATTCATTTGGAGTTTCTTCTGTGCATAACAGAGATTTTAGGTCCATGATGGAGGAGGTAGTGTTATCCCCTCCTCTTAGGGATAAAGGGAGAGTTCTTTGGCACAATCGTTCTTTCATAGTTTTATGGCCATTCAGATTGAAAAAAATAACAGGATTTTTAGAGAGGTAGAGCATTATTCTTTGAGAAACACTACTTTTAACATCTACTTTTGGATTGGAGGCCATTTTTGTAGGTGTGTGGCTGTTTGTTTATATGATCTTGTATATTCTTTCATGTTTCTTAACAAAAGCTCGCCTAGTCCAGGGTGTCTATGATGAAATAAGGATCAGGGTGTGTTTCTGCAAATTCCAGTGACTAATGTGTCTTCAACCAATTAGGTATTTCCAGAATCATTAGTTAAAGAATGCATAACAAGTTTCAAAAACTTTGGTTGAACATTACTACTTCACAATTGTTCTAATTTCTAGAACACAAACAAAAAGAGAAGCAGCCATAGATGTACCTTTCCTTCCTTTCCTGCAGATTCTTCATTTGCTCCTTGTAATGATTCTCGATGTACTGCTTTGCCGCAGCAGCCTTCTGCTTAGTGCTGTTCGAATGCGTTTCTTCGTCCATTTTATCAGCACAATCCTCGCTCCCTTCCATACTATCGTCCTTCTTCTTCAAAGAACCTCTCGGCCTATCTCTCGGCTGAAGCTTATTGAACCAACTCCTCGCCGAATCCATTTCTCAAACAGAAATCTCAAGAACCCTAAAACATCCCTAGAACACAAAAACAAGTCGCCCAAACAAACTATTCGATATCCAAAACGTCACCGCCTCAAGTTCGAAACAACCACGAAATCGTTGAAAATCAACAAGCAACCGCGCGGCACGGAATCAAAACGAACATCGAAAAAGGAGTTGTAAAGAGAAAAATTGGTACGTTGATTCAATGTCGAAGGAAAGGAATTCTTAGGGATTTCAAGAAAGAAGGCTGAGAATCCGGATGACCGTAGAACTAAAATAGAGAGTGGATTGGAGGCATGAAGGAGAAGTATATATGATCCAGAAATGGAAATGAGAGAGAGAAAAAGAGAGACAGAGAAGGATTCCAGCATTTTCGTTGTGCCCTTCGATTACAGCTGAACCCTGAAGAAATTCCGATGACTTTTCCCGAAATGGACTCTCCTTCGTGATTCGAATCACCGCTAATTTCCATTCTTCTTCCCGATTCTGAGCTCTTCCATGGAATTGGAGTTTGATTGTAGATGACGATGATATTACAATGGTGGTGTGAAGAATCCAATTCATGAAGTTCGATCTGTTCATAGAATGAAATTAGTTGGTTAAATTCGTTTTCACAATTGTTCTTTTTTTTTTTTTTTTTTTTGTCACTAATAAAGTAAATATAAAATCCACATTATAATCATTTTAAATTAATTAATTATGAAGACCAATAAAAATTAGGCTAAAATAATAGAAAATACCTTCAACTTTTTCACTAAAATTTCAATAAAATCCTTTAAAAATATATTAAAAATAACTTTATGTTTCTAAAAATAGTTTTTAAAAAATAACCTTGAAATTATTTTTATTTTGTTTTTCAAAATAACCTTAATTTTTAAATTCATCAAGTGCCTGTAGCTCAGTGGATAGAGCGTCTGTTTCCTAAGTAGAAAGTCGTAGGTTCGACCCCTACCTGGCGCGAATTATTTTTTTAATATCAATAATTATATTTTTTTTAATTAAAAAAAATAAAAATACTAGCGGAATTTTTAACAAGTAGAACATAAAATATAACAAGTAAGATGAAACAAACCAATATTCTTATTTGTTTTATTTCTAAAATGTACAAAATAATTTACAATAATAATGAAAATAATATAAATATAAATATAAATAGTGAGAATGTTGAAATTGATTTCCAAAAAAAAAAAAAAAAAAGAGTTTAATAATAAATAGGCCACGTGGCAATATGGTAAGGGACTACAAATTCAACTAAATTTAGTTATTAATTATCATAAAAATAACTTAATTTTCTTTAGATAATAAATAAGGGAATAAAATGAAACCCCTTAAAATAATAATATTTTAAAAACTATTAATTTTAAAACAAATTGATTAAAATAGTTTAATTTATTATTTTTACAATTATCGTGTAATTTAACTAATTCTACATAATATTTAAAAATAAATTAAGATAATTGGCATTCATCCCCTAAATTATGCTCCGATGACATTTCCCTAGACCGAGTCAATTGAGACACTCCCTTTCAATCAATGAATAATTACAAACCTTTAAAGACCTTTTCAACATAGTATGACTTAAAGAGTAAACTCCACGTCCAAGTTATTGACACTCTCGTAGTCATGCAATCATTGTGAATTTGAGTACTTTTAACGATTTTACGTCCTAAATTTGAGATCTGAACGACTATTTTATGGTACGAGAATTTGAACCATCGAGCTCAAGGAAAAAAGTTCATAATAATTACAACCGAGCTATACTCAGTTTGGTTAAGATTGATTGTCTCTCAGCTAAGCTATACAAATACCGTACCGAGCATCCAAGTTGCTAAACTTTTATACATTTGCAGTACTAAAAAATCATGCTCGGATTCTTTCTCGTATTAAAATCAATTAACAACCAATAATGATTTCGGGTTCTATTTTAATCGATGGTGGACGTGAGTGTCAGTGAGTCATCTAGTCGACCACTTTCTAAACTTATTATTTTGGAATTTTTCGACCCGTTAATAACAAAAAATAGTAAATAATAGTAATAAAAAAAACAATTAATAGTTGTATTTTTTGAAAATTAGAACTAATTTTGTTTTAACAATTGGAAGGAAAAAAACAACAAAAATACAAAAATACGAATTTTTTAAAAAAAGAATTCGGTTTTTTAGTCGCCAGTCGAGTCAAGTCAACACAATGAACGCGTGGGTCCCATCGCCATTAATCATACACTCTTTTCTTTTTTTTTTCTTTTTTTTTTAATTTCAATTTATTTGGCCGATTGGAAAATCGATTTATTGTTTTCTTCCATGAAATTTCTTCGGTCTCCATCTTTTTTTCTGTTGTTCACATTGAATTTTCTCTCTTTCGTGTAAGCTCCTTAATTCCTCCATTAAATGAATTCTATCTTCATCTTCCCAGTTCTGGAGATTGTAGTTCGTTCTCTCTTCTTGTTTTCGATGTTTTCTCGTTGAATTCATCATCCCCTTTTGAAGGCTTCTTCAATTCCACCAGTTTTCGACGATCTCTGGTTTGATTCTGCGAGGTAGTGTGAGGTTTTGCTACAATTTCAGTCGAATTTCGTGGGGGGATTTGCTTTGAAGATTTGAACTCGGTATTGAATTGCTAGGTTTTTGTTGAACTGTTCTGTTTGTTTGATTGATTGATTTTGAATTGGAAATGGCTGTTTATTGAAGAAGTTGGAATTGGGAAGTGTTGAAACTATCTCTGATTTTGCTGAACTTTTGATAGATTGTTCTGTTTATGAACGATATGGTTTGCAATCGATTTGTGGATTGTTTGGTTGCTGGTTTTGTGGTGGTATTGTTGAGTAGTAGTAATGGTTTTACCTCTGCTACTGAGACCGATTTGTCTTGTTTGAGGAGCATAAAGAAATCGCTTCAGGATCCTAATAATTACTTGTTGTCATGGGATTTTAGCAACCGTTCTGAGGGGGTTATCTGCAAATTTTCTGGGGTTATGTGTTGGCATCCTGATGAGAATAGGGTTTTAAGTATTTCTCTGTCTGATATGGGGCTTAAGGGCCAATTCCCTCCTGGGATTAAGAATTGCACTAGTTTAACTGGCTTGGACCTCTCTAACAACCAGATTTCGGGTCAGATTCCTACCGATATCGGAACCATTATTAAGTTTGCTACCACTTTGGATCTTTCATCCAATGATTTAACTGGTCCCATACCTGAAAGCATTGCTAATTGTAGTTATCTGAATGTTCTCAACCTGGATCACAACCAGTTAACTGGGCAGATCCCTCCGGAGCTTGGCTTGCTCGGTCGGTTGACGAAGTTTAGTGTTGCTAATAATCTTTTGACTGGTCCAGTTCCTCAGTTTGGTGGTAATCTGACAAATAAGGCTGAAATGTATGCAAATAATCCTGGACTGTGTGGAGGTCCTTCTATGAATCCTTGCCCGTCGCCTTCGAATAGGCCTCATACTTCAGTAATTGCGGGAGCAGCTGTTGGTGGTGTTACGGTTGCTGCAGTTGGTGTAGGTATTGGTATGTTTTTCTATTTTCGTAGCGCCTCGATGAAGAAGAGGAGGAGGGATGACGACCCGGAAGGAAATAAGTGGGCAAGAAACATAAAGGGATCAAAAGGAATCAAGGCAAGCTTTTATTCCCGTTCTTCTTTTCTTTTTCTCGTGTTTCGTTTTCGTTATTTGTTCTGTTTCTCTAATGTTTAACTATATCTATGCAGATTTCTGTTATTGAGAACTCAGTGCCAAAAATGAATTTAAGTGACCTCATGAAAGCTACAAACAACTTCAGCAAAAGCAACATTATTGGGTCAGGGAGAACTGGATGCATATACAGAGCAGTCTTTGAGGATGGATCTTCATTAATGGTTAAGAGGTTGCAAGAATCGCAGCGCTCCGAAAAGGAGTTCTTATCCGAGATGGCTACCTTAGGCAGCGTAAAACACGCCAACTTGGTTCCACTTTTAGGCTTCTGTATGGCTAAAAAAGAGAAACTTTTGGTCTATAAGGATATGCCGAATGGAACTCTCCATGATCAGCTACATCCCGAGGATGGCGATCGAAAACCAATGGAATGGTCTTTAAGGTTGAAAATTGGGATAAGGGCAGCCAAAGGATTGGCTTGGCTTCATCACAACTGCAATCCGCGGATCATTCACCGAAACATAAGCTCGAAATGTATCTTGTTGGACGAAACATTCGAACCGAAAATATCTGATTTTGGTCTTGCAAGGCTCATGAATCCAATTGATACTCATCTAAGTACTTTTGTGAATGGGGAGTTTGGAGATATAGGTTATGTGGCTCCTGAGTATTCCCGAACGCTAGTCGCAACTCCAAAAGGCGATGTTTACAGTTTCGGAGTTGTTCTTCTCGAGCTGGTGACAGGAGAGAGACCAACACATGTCTCAAAAGCATCTGAGGATTTCAAAGGGAATTTAGTCGAATGGGTTACGAAGTTGTATGAAAACTCCAAACAGCAGGAAGCACTCGATGACACCTTGGTCGACAAGAACGTCGACAGTGAGCTCTTACAGTTTCTCAAAGTTGCATGGAGCTGCGTCGTGCCAACTGCAAAGGAAAGGCCTACCATGTTCGAAGTATATCAGCTTCTAAGAGCCATTGGGGAAGGGTACAACTTCACTAGTGACGACGAGATAGCAATGCCTACCAACACCGAATCCGACGCTGGCCTTGAGGAACTCATAGTCGCTCGTTGAATATAGGAAACTTTACACGAAAGGTACTACAATTAGGCAGAGATGATGACTATGATGACTATGATGACGATGATGACGATGCAACCAAAAGTTGTATATTCCTGTTTTCTAGTATTATCATGGAATATAAACTAATACAAGCATTTCGTGACGTTTATGTTATTATTAATCTCGACGTTTATTTTCGTATAATATATTCATATCTCTGATTTTTGATATCACAGAACATGTCACTGCAAACAGCTGGCTGTAAAAAGGAGCTTTCCATAGCTGTTCAAGCCATCTAAATCCATCAGAGGTTTGATCTGTTCTTGCTTTATGGGTAAATTTAGTAAATTTTAGATGAAAAAATGGCCTTTTTTATCTATTTTCTCTACAATTATAACTGATTTTTACCTCTCTTGATAGACTCTATTGTATGATATCAATGTATAAAATTGGAAACTACTTTGTGGGAATGTTCATACGATCGGAGAACTCAACTAGTCGGGATTACTTAATTCAAATGATAAAATTTGGGTTGGGTTGAATTTTTGGAAAATCGAAAATTCCATTCAATTCGAGGGTTAAATTTTTTTTTACTAGGTTAACTCGACCCATTCAAAAATAAAATTACAACTCTAATTTTAAGATTATTATTTTCTTTTTTATTATTTTTTTCATTTTGTAAGCATCAAGACAAGGTAGTTTCACATTAAATCGGAAAAATCCAAATGTGATTTCATTAATTAAATACAAGGGGGGCAAAATAGTAATTCTCAAAGTTGAATAGGTCAAATTTGGTTAACAAGTAGATGGAAAATTTAATACACACATCCAAAGTACAATAATTTAAGTGGCTTAAATTATTCAGCTCCTTCAAATTAATTTTACACCATTTAAAAAAATCTATATATATATTTTTTAATAAATTGATGTTTTCTAATCCCAGTCACCGGGTCTCTAATATTTTTTTAATAAAAAATTAAATTTCTATCCACAACTCGACCCAAGTTATTTTATCCGAACGCTCGAAATAACAAGTTTGAGAGGTTAATAAAGTCACATTATATCTCACTTAACTACCTTTAAGATATTTACGGTTCGAGATGTCAAATATAAACAATACTAGATATTTACATTAAAAGAGTGAGTAGAATTCATAGAGAAAATAATAAATTAATTTAAAAAATTATAAACTTTTTATTATTTTTAAGAATACTGACCATAAAAATTTATTAAAATTTTTAAAAGTAAAAAAGAAAAAAAAAAATTAAAAGTTCAAGAGTGTTATTAAAAATAACTTTTTAAAAATATAAAAAAAAATATTTTTTTAGATAAATGTTATATTAATTTAACTTGGAATCTAAGATAATAATAAATAGAAGGATTCAAACCTGCCATTTTACCCCCACAAAGGCACAAATGCATGAATTTTAAAAGCTATTAATAGTCGAACTAAATACAGATATAAAAAGATAACTTTTTTTTTTTTTTTTTAATTTTAAATAAAATAAATTGAGGTTAAAAAGATCCTAAGAACTTGGAATGTCATCCAAAGCTGGTGATTGTAACAGTTATTTATGAAGCTGAGGGAATGTGGAAGATCCAAACCAAAGTCCAAGCTTTGATCAAATCTTGGAGCAGCTCAATCCCCAAATCCAGCATCAATTTCCAGTTCCACCGTCCCTTTTCCTCCATGGATTCCATTTCCTCTCCTTCGAGGACCATTTCCGTCTTCTCCACTATTCCTCTGCCGCCGGGCTCCGATGCCGCCGATGCCTCTGGAAATTCTACTTTGTCTCGGAAGCCGATCAGTCTCTGGCCCGGAATGCACCATTCGCCGGTCACCACAGCTCTCTGGGAAGCTAGGTCCAGTATCTTCGAGAGGCTGCTTGATCCTCCTAAAGATGCGCCGCCGCAGAGCGAACTGCTTACCAAAACGCCTTCTCAGAGTCGGACGATTGTCATTTATAATTTCTCTTCTGATTTCATTCTGAGAGAGCAGTACCGAGATCCGTGGAATGAGGCCAGAATCGGAAAGCTGCTCGAAGACCTAGATGCCTTGGCCGGCACCATCTCCGTTAGAGTATGGCGATTTCTTCCTGGTTTTTCTCTCTTTTTGAATGCTCTGCGTATACTGAAATTTATAATGAATATGTGATGGTTCTTTGGATTTCATGCCTTATTGAATGCAATTTCCTAAACCGATTTCACTGTACTATTCGCCCTAATTTTGTTGTTCATCTCCGAGACGATTTGTAAAGGATTTGAACTTTCTGAGATGAAACTGTCCTTTTGCCCATCATTTTCAACAACTTAGTGGTTTGAGTTTTGTGTATATATAAATTAGAGCTTCAAATCTAAGTTTGGTGAAAGATTTTAAGCAGAAGGTTTGACTGAGATGTATGAGTGAGGTAGAAAATGTATTGGAATTTGGCTAAGGGATTCTGAGCTATGAATCTATTAGATTATCTTCCTTTCTTAAGAATTTATTTTTGGTGGTTTCCTCTTTGACAGCACTGTTCTGATGTTGATAGCACAACCAGACCACTTTTGCTAGTCACTGCCTCTGTTGACAGGATTGTTCTGAAGAAGCCAATTAGTGTTGATGCTGATCTGAAAGTAGTTGGTTCAGTCATTTGGGTTGGGAAATCCTCAATTGAGGTTCAGTTAGACATGATCCAGTCCACAGAAGGTATGGATTATGAAATCTCTCTGTTTAAAAAATTTCTGTCCTAAAACCTCTCTCTCTCTCACTCTCTTAAGAAATGGACTTCAAATTTTCACTTGGTTCATTGGGGCGACTCCGCCTTACTGTGTTCTCTCTAAGAATAATATACTGTGAACTCTGTGAGTATGATAAACACTGAAAGGATTAAAAGAAGGGAACGAGTGCCAACGATTGGAGAAGGGAACGAGTGCCGGCGAGAACGCTAGGCTCCGAAGGGGGTGGATTTTGAGATCCCACATTGGTTGGAGAGAGGAACGAAACATTCTTTATTAGGGTGTGGAAATTTCTCCACGCGTTTTAAAAACCTTGAGGGGAAGTCCGAAAGGGAAAGCCCAAAGAGGACATTACAAATGGTATTAGAACCAGATAACAGGCGGTGTGCCAGCGAGGACCTTGGGCTCTGAAGGGGTGGATTGTGAGATCCCACATTGATTGGAGAGAGGAACTAGTGCCAGCCAGGATCCTGGGCTCCGAAGGGGGGAGGGGAAGGTGAGATCCCACATCGATTGGAGATGGGAACGAGTGCCAACGAGCACGCTGGGCCCTGAAGGGGGTTGGATTGTGAGATCCCACATCGGTTGAGGAAGAGAATGTTTCTCTCCCTAGCATATGCGTTTTAAAAATCTTGAGGGGAAACTCGAAAGGAAAAGCCCAAAGAGGATAATATCTGCTAGCCGTGGGCGTTTTAAAAATCTTGAGGGGGAGGACAATATCCGCTAGCGGTGGACGCTAAAGGGGCTATTACAGTTTCTTGGTTCATTATCCTCTTTCAAGTGCTGTTTATTATCTACAAACAGTTCTCAATGTCCATGCCTAAAGCCAAACTCAAAGAAAAAGATATGATTTCACCATCCTCTTTCAAAATGGAGGCCCTTTACCTTCCTCCAAAAAGCAACAGAAGATTCTTTTATCACCGTTAGTTTTTCAAGACTCCTCTTGCTTCCGAAATAAACATTGTGCCGAACCGAACTTCAAAGTAATACTAACGACAACAAGTTTAGAGAGAGAGTTCTTGTTGGACATCTTCTTGCTTAGTTTCTGGTACCCGTTGGATGATGAAAGTCCCACATCAGCAAATTTAGGGAATGATCGTGGGTTTATAATCAAAGAATACTATCTCCATTGGGATGAGGCTTTTTGGGGAAGCCCAAAACAAAGCCACGAGAGCTTATGCTCAAAGTGGACAATATCATATCATTGTGGAGAGTCGTGTTCTTAGTGACTCCTAAATTTATAGGAAATGATGCTTACTTATCATTAATCTTTTTGGTTCAGTTGCTCTGACAGCAAACTTCATATTCGTGGCTCGCGACTCTAAGACTGGGAAAGCTGCTTTGGTTAACAGGATTTTGCCAGAAACTGAGGAAGAAAAACTACTTTTTGAGGGAGCAGAAGCCAGAAGTAAGTTAAGGAAAAGGAAGAATAGAGGTGGTATGTGGGGGTTGGAAAATGGTGATATAAAAAGAATTGATGCTTTGCTAGCAGAGGGAAGAATCTTCTGTGACATGCCAGCCCTGGCAGACAGAGACAGCATTCTTCTCAGGGATACTCGCCTCGAGAACTCTTTGATTTGTCAACCACAACAAAGAAACATACATGGTCGCATTTTCGGAGGGTTTCTGATGCAACGAGCATTTGAATTGGCTTTCTCAACAGCATATGTATTTGCTGGAATGGTGCCTTACTTTTTTGAAGTTGATCATGTTGATTTCTTAAAACCTGTGAGTGTGCCTCGCTTTTATACTCTTGTATAGGAATAGGGTCACTTGGTAGAAATGAAACAAATATCTCAATAGCATAAAGTGTTGGTTGTTTCAATGTGCAGGTAGATGTCGGTGACTTCCTACGTTTCACATCTTGTGTTCTTTACACGGAACTCGACAATCCAGATCAGCCATTGATCAACGTTGAAGTCGTTGCCCACGTCACTAGGCCCGAGATCAGGTCTAGCGAGGTAAAATATCCTGTATATGTTAATATTGTGAGATCCCACATTGGTTGGAGAGGGGAACGAAACATTCCTTATAAGGGTGTGGAAGTCTCTCCCTAACATAGACATTTTAAAACCTTAAGGGGAAGCCGAAAAGGGAAAGTCCAAAAAGGACGATATCTACTGGTGGTGGGTTTGGCTTGTTACAAATGGTATCAAAGCTAGGCACCAGGCAGTGTGCCAGCGAGGATGCTGGGCTCCCAAGAGAGAGGATTGTGAGATCCCACATCGGTTGGAGAGGAGAATAAAGCATTCCTATAAGGGTGTAGAAACATCTCCCTAACAGATGTATTTTTAAAGACCTTGAGGGAAGTCCGAAAGGGACAATAACGACTAGCAGTGGGCTTGGGCAGTTACAAATACTGTTCGACAAATCTATGGTTTAAATACAATTGTATATCCGTTGTTAAATATTTTATCATTTGAAATGTTTGTTTCGGTCTCTGAATGTTTTGGTTCTTGTCATCCAAACTCGATACCAAACTGAACATAGAGCCAAAAACACAAGCCCATGTGGTACTTTAGTAGATTGTTTGAAAATATAAGCTCAAAGGATTTGAGCTTAAAACATTACATCTGTCTCATACACTCATAAACAAAAAAACTCTGCCCCAGAGGCTTCAAATTCCCTCACACTTTCATAATTGCTTCTGTCAAATGAAAGTTTCTGATGTTAGTTTTGTTGCTGATTGACAATCTGTAGAAACTAAAATTGTAAGCATACTAAGTGTTTGTGATTTACTAATCCAATGCAGGTTTCGAACACGTTCTATTTCACTTTCACCGTGCGTCCAGAGGCAAAAGCGAATGGGAACGGATTCAGACTTCGCAACGTCGTTCCAGCAACAGAAGAAGAAGCTCGTCGTATCATCGAGCGCATGGATGCCGAAAAGATGCTCAGGGACTTGAGCAAGCAATCTGAATCAGGTTAGGCTTAGGCAGCCAACACAATGTGGCTTTTAAGTTCAAAGAAAATTAATGATATTCAAATGGTGTGAATGTGGGCTTAGCTTATGATCACATATGCTGTTGGAGGGAGCAGAGCAATCAAATTATGTAATGGGACATTGATATCATTATGTAATTTTAGGAATAAATGTCTTTTCAACCATGACATTCTCCTTCTATACCAATCTTCGTGAAAGGTGTTCATTGAACACTCGAAGACTTGCTTCGAATGGGTCGGAGAATTTCAGTCTAAACTGAAAATGGGGAGGAAGTTTGGAGAGATTTCTCACTGTTAGCTAAACAAGGTCAGAGATCGATATTATATTCTTTGTCCCGACCTCAATTACTGTCTACCCTAATTATTTATACTGTTTAGAAATGATATGAAGTTTGGAGAGATTTCTCACTATTAGCTAAACAAGGTCAGAGATCGATATTATATTTTTTGTCCCGACCCCAATTACTGTCTATCCTAATTATTTATACGGTTTATAAATGATATGATGTCGATATTTTTTTTCTTCTTAGGAAATATTATTGGATTTATTAAGATATTTTAGAAATTATATTAGAAAATGATAATTATCCATTAAAAATAATTTAAAAAAACACAAAAAAAAATGGAGAAAAAACTCCCTCGGAACCTAATATTTTACGAGAATGATGATTGAAATAGGTTTTCCATCTCCGACTTTCTACATCGTAAGTGTATTCGAATTTCAAACGAGGATATTCATCATAATTTGGCTTAATGTTCAATTTTCCAATGTGAATACTAGTATATCCTTAATGTCGTCATGTAATTGTTAGTGGTACCCCGATCAACAACCCTTAAATTTTTAAAATTTTCATAATGTACCGACCTGCTTTTCGAGCTTATCGAGTCATACATCGCCACTATAGTAGAAGTCGACATTTGACGGTAAAAACTGTAATATTTATTTATGTTTTAGGGTCTAATAGGATGAATTTAGGGTAAAAAAATATTATAATAATAAAAAATTATTATTATTATTTTGCAAAAAAGAAAAAACCAAAATAAAACTAAAAGCTTTGAAATTGACGCGAAAGACATCATTACACGACGAGTCGGAACTCTTGCAAAGCTTGCGCGGTTCGTTCTTGAAGAAAGCGGCGAGGGAGAAGATGTTGAGAACTCGATTGTTTTGGTTCAGTGTTGGATTTGCAGCCACGTCCGCTTCGATTTCGCAATTCGTCTGGAGAGATCTACTGGCTCATCGATGTGCTCTTTCATCTGATGCAAGTTTTGTTTTGATCCTGAAATTTTCGTGTTCTTTCACCTTCCCAGGAGGTTTTCATATTGTGGTTTTTGATGTTGTTGGTTGTTTTTTCCTCTCATTGATACAGATTGAGCGGAATTTCGATGCACTGGAAGCTAGAATCTCGAATCTTGAGTCGGTTCGAAACCGGGATTCGATTCCATCTGCTGAGGTATTTCTCTTTCTGTGTTACTGATGGAGCTTGAACGTAAATACAAAGCTATTGCTTTACGTGTGATAATGTGTGTGCACCTTATTCACTAGCTAATCCATTTTACTTGTGTCGATTACTCTTCGACTATTGGCTTTCGCTGAACTTACTAAATTTTGTCTTGCATTACCGCAACCATGATTTACTGTCTTTCGAAATTGGACAGAGATAGGGATGATTGAATGTCTATTTATCTTTTCTTTCTTATTATAATGTATCAGCTCTTGCTTTGGTAGATTGTTAACGTTTTTCATGGGGGAAACTAAAGATTTAAAATTTCCATAAGGATTTTAGACAATTTAAATAGCCGATTTAAGCATGAATGTAGAAGTAAAACTGAACATTAAATCATCGAGGCAAGGTTTCTTTATTTCCGTTTAATCCTTCTTAAGCTATTGAGACCTGCCTTTGAGTTGCTGAAGAGCTTACTCTTGTTGATTACGTTTCATGAATGTCAATGCACAGTTCTTTTAAAGAACCCAGCCAGATTTGGCTCGAATTGGTTTGTAGCATGTAAGGGAGAAAGTAGGATGAATGGGTTCGCAGTGGAAGTGAGGGGGAAACAACCGTAATTGAAGTTGAGATACTGTCATAGATTGAGGCTTGTTCATTGGCAATGGCAGTGAAATGTCAGGATCCTTTTTGCTGTGCCGGTGCTTAAGATGAAGATTGTTTTCGAATAATAGAATGAGCACTCTATGAGTTGGAATATTATGACTAGAAGAAATTTACAGATGTAATTTTATGAGCTTATTTGCTATTGAAGTTACTAAAAAACATACACACACTGGGGCTGGAAATGGTGAGACATTGGGAAAATATGGTATTTAAACGTTTTGTTTCCTTCTTGATGAATTCAAGCATGTACTTACTAAATTGAATCTATGACTAGTTGGCCAGTACCAGTTTCCTCACGAGAATTATGTGATCTTTTTGGGATTAAGAGGGTATGTCAAGTTTTCGAGAGGGTATATAATCAATATGCTTGGAATTACAAAACAGAGAAATCCTTTGTTTGTCTGAAAATGGCCATACCCACCCTACCACTGCTGGCTATACCGAGCCTTAACAAGGAGTTTGTGGTTGAAATTTATGCAACGTGGTACAGTAGATGTTGGATAACTGATCACCTTCCATTCAAATTCTTACTAATCAGGTCAGACATAAGTCTGTCTACGTGCAAGAATTGATGACCTACAAAAATGGAGGTCTTATTTGTTGGGGAGAGAGTTTTGATCCAAAAGGATTAAGAAGAATTTGTCTCCCAGTAGATCAGCCATGGTTGAGTGTTGATTAAGTTGCTTGTTATTGTATTGGAAATTATTATCACCTTAACATAGTAAACAAGGTTGTTTGATGCATTATCCAAATTCCCTACCAGCATTATTACTTTGACCTTAATTTCCATAATTCTAGGATTGTCTAGCTAACAGCAAATCTTAGGGGATGTTTTAGGGATAGGGAACTTATCCTCATTTTATGGTGGAAGCAGATCAATAAAAATTTAGATGAGGTCAGTGTTGTGCAATGGATCATCACTTCTGGAAATGTTACTATGAGAATACTATTGTAAGGGCACTTTGGAATGTTAAATCTAAAGGTGAATGACAACTTTTGTTGATGCTTTATGGGTATGTTCAAGAGTCAAGATGTGGATGTTTATGTGTCGAATTGCAAGATTTGTTGCAGAAAGAAGTAATTAGCATGTCGCTAGCTAACCTATTAAGCCTCTCCCAATTTCAGTCAGATTCATTCTTGCTAATATCTCTAGTCTTGCTTTTATACAATTTAGTGGGTCGAAATTCTTTGCAATCATTTTTTTTCTGTGTGCCACTTAGTAAAGCTCGAGACAGACTGTCTTCCCTTTTCCTCACAGCATTTCTTTCCTTGTAGCAGGCCAATGACTGAGTGACTGATTCCTCGTGGAGCTCGTTATTTAGGTATGAATTGGCATGAATTATTTTTTAAATTCACGAGCTGTTTCATACTATGGTTGAGTGTCATATTTTATCGCAGCAATAATGAGCTTGTCGTGCATCCTGAATATTTGTCGACTATGAAATGAATCTTATGTGCTTTTTGGTTATGGAAATAAACTTTTGATAGATTTGATGGTTCCTTCATCAAAATATTTACTCATGGTGTATAAGAACCAATGGGTTTGAGGTGCACTTGTAAAAAAAGCAGACCAAGGGTGCCTCAGCCATCTCCATATCCCTTAATTTATTCTTATCGAAATTAAGGACTCTCAACAATACTTATTTACATTTTTCTAGTGTTCGCATAATTATAAATAAATAAAAAATAAAAAACCCATAATAAGGGCTGTCGTGTTTAGTTGCCTCTCTTTTTGAGAAACACTATTTAAAACATTTACTTTTCCCATTTCCAGCCCTCTAATTTGCAGAGTTGATGATTTATCTATGACAGTAACATTTATCATCTACATGCCTTGCAATTTGGTGGATTGAAATGTCTATAGTTATATCTGTAAATCCGAGAGTCCAACATCAATACTAAGGATTAAGTCTTGTCCTTAATTGATTTAAATATTAATCCCAACATAAATAATGAATAGTAGCAACAAGATCTATAACTTAGCTTAGAAGTAAGTAAATACAACTTAATTGATTTAAATAGCTTTTCTAAATTTGTTGATTTTTATAAATACCTGTCTGTGATATATCCGTGCAATGTAAATCTGATTTTGATATTCATTGGCTAATGCTATGATGCTGGGCATTTATTTGGTCAGGAGGGTTATGGGAACTCTAGGGAATGAAACCTCAGTTTTTGCCTAGCATTTTTGTATTTTCCTTTTCTCTTACCTATATCTTAACATATCTTGTAGGTGGAATTTTGTACCAACAATTGCAGGACAAAACCCCATGTAAAAGGTGCAACTCCGTTCCTTTTTTTTGCTTTCTCCTAAATAAAATCCAAGTATTTTGTACAAAAGGAGAGCTTCATGCTATACATCATCCCTACCTTTCATTTGAGATGGTTATATCAAACTAAACTATTGTATTTCTTAGATACGAGACTTCAAGGATTGAATCATCGATTTTAAGGATTGAATCGTCTTGGTCGTGGAAGTTTTTTAACCTTTTGTTTGCTTCATGATTCTTGATTTATTGTTAGTTTCATTGGCTTCTTTTTCACCTCACAATTTGACATTAAATTCAAACTTTTGGATAGTTGAATCCTACTAGAAAACTTGTCTCCAAGGAGGAGTTATCAGAGGGACAACAATAGAGTCTCAATTTTGAAGAAATTTCTAGAAGTATGACCCCCCATGCATGTTCAAAATTTCTAGATAGTCTCAACTTAGGAAAAGAAAAGAAAAGAGGATTTCGAAAACCCTAAAATTAGCAAATTCCCTTCTCGTAGTTCCTTTTCCTACAAAGATGAGTCCTAGGAAGATTTTCCGAGAAAGCTGAGGTAAAATATTGAAGTTTATTTACACCGTCTTTTGAAACTGACTCTGAATTTCACTTCAATATTTGATTAGAAAATACTTATTAATATGTTAGAAAAATATAAATATTAAAAAAAGAGGATCATTTATCCACACCTCTTGGTAATTCTTACGGTTCAAGGGTGTTTTAGAATCATTTCTTAAATGTTAAGAGATCAAAATGTTTTTTTTAACGTCCAAGTTTCAAAATTAGAATTAGTAGAAATTGACATGCTAATCTTCCAAGTTCCAACATCCCTTGGATAATCCGAGTAATTTCTTGGCTAATTAAATCTCAGTGAAGAAACTACAACAGTAAGACATTTTTCAATTTGATAGCAGTAATCAAGATTAAGATTAAAAATGCATCGTTAACGAAGCTCTAATCCACCATGCGTTAGAAACATAATACACTACAGATTCATATATATATAATCTTTAATGTTCAATAGAATGAACGTTAAGCACTTAGATATTGCCTACTTGAATCAACGAACTTGAAAATATTATTGCCACTTGGCTCATATGCTGGTAAGCTCACATATTGGGGACACGAAAAATTTGAAGAGATGATCCCATTCTGTGAGTCGGTCTGAACACAGTCACGAGGCTGTAATAAAGCAAACATAATCATTTGAGTAACCCAAAAGATATCCCATAAACATCACTAAGATCACACTTGTGAAAAGAAGGTATCCACACATATCTAACATTTTTCCTAAAAGCATTTTAAATCCACCAAAAATTACACATAGCCAGCCAAGAAGGATAACTAATACTAGGCTAAACTAAAAGTTTCGTTCTCGAACTTTAAGATTTCCGTCCTATTTTATTCTTGAACTTCTAATTTTGAATCTCATAGTTCGTTGGATGTTAGAGTTAGATATAAATTTAAATTTTGTCTAATAGAATATTAAACTTCCAATTTTGTGTTAGATTCATAACTTCTAAAAAAAAATTGAAAATTCAAGATCTATTAGATACAAAATTGCAAATTTAAGAATTGAAGAACCTATTATACATTTATAAGTTAAGGAACCAACCTTGAGATCCTTGTAGAAACATAAACGAAGTTCCTGCAGTGCACCCTCTGAACATGCTAAAGAAGGGGTGACATGAAAAGCATTCTCAACTGCTGAAACGATTCCTCCAAGAGGATATTTCTCGGTATTTGAAGGTAGATATCCAGCATCATTCAGAACTTTCTGGGACATAACATGTTCATTAGTAACCAAACTCATTCCAATGCAAAATAAGAAATAATAAAGGTTTTAAATACATTATATGAATAGCAAATTAAAGAAACTTATATAAGTGTAAGCAGTGTTTATAAGCTAATTTTCAAAAACAAAAAACTAAATGGTTATTAAACGGAGCCTAGTTGTTTCAATTTCCATAGATGTGTTTCAGTAATCAACTACGTATTTTATTCTCTCTTTTGGGTTCAATAATGGCAGGATTTGGTCAAATCGTTAGCTTTTCGAGTAGTAAGATGTGTCTTATTCAGTCAGCAGTAAAATTAATCAAATAAGGGAAAAATCGACAACAGCAAAAATGGGGAACTAAACTGCAAGCAGCATGATCTGATCTATTGATATTAGAGCTAATGTAGAAAGGGTAGCATCATTCCAATACTTACAGTGACATTATATTTGAAAAAAACGTTGAGAGTAGTTAAAAAGTAACTGTATTCATCCCGAATTACTGGATAAGAACAAGTTCCATGCTTCTCTGCATGCCATAGAAATACAATATGAGAAAACCAAAGGATGGGAAGAACATTAAACATGCTCTGATTCCAACATTGGCATTAAAACAATAATATGAACATATCAAACTATTTCCTGTGTCCTAAAACGTAGCAAATTACCAAAAAGACATATGCTGTCACATCCAATCAAGAACAAACTCTACGTAGATACGAAGGGCCAACATCAAAGTTGAGCATCATTGGTCCAAGGTAAATGACAGAAAAATACACTTTTGTATAGGATATCATTATGCAATGCATAGATCATATATGGCCATGATGTGAACGCCTTTTAAAATCTTTATAGTTCATCAGAAATCTAAAAATTTATCCTTTGCCAATCAGAAAAATGCAATAAAAGAAGTAAAGCCTCAATGCATTATAGAATATAGATTATAGTATCCAAGTGAGAGAAGCCAAGGATTATTACCCCACTAGTCAATGCAGTAGCCAATTCAGCCATCATAGGAACAAAAAGTGGGGAAAAAAGAATCAGTTAAAACTTGGGTACCATCAGTGCAAATTTACACAAATATATCTTGTATTAGTGATGGTCACCTCATGAGCCCAAAATGATCCCTTCCCACCATGGCAAGTTGAAGATGAACAACTCAAAGATGGCCAATATTTCTTCAGGGGATCAAGTAAGGAATGAATCTGCAAGATAAAATTATGCAGGATGATACAAAAATGCCTTGTGCCACACAAGAACAAAGTAAACGGCACAATGATCAAAATAAAGCCAATAGGCTGAAAAAGTTTTGTTTTAGCTCTTCAACCATGGATCATATCATGAATATCAACAGCCTAACTTTAATAACAACGCACCTCCTTCTCATCAAAACTTGTTCCATTGCAACATGAAGGCCATGTTCCATCATTATAATCAGGCCATAACCCATCTATCACGCAAGCAACAGATTATAAATTCGTAGTCATACAATAACGAACTCTTAATAGTTTATATTTATATAAAGAAAATTCTCAAACAAATGAACGACTCCAAGTTTATTCTTATAAACACCGCTTGCACTTATAAGTTGTGGAAGAAATGCAGTTGTGGCTTCAACTTACGAATCGTAAAGTCAGCAAAAGCACCAGATCTACCAGAGAAAGGATAAATGAGCATAAGTTTATGAACAATGAAAAAGAACATCAAGAGAATTCAGAAGAACGCTCAAGAAAATACCGAACATGACCTATAGGCAAAACTTTCACAACCATAAACTTGAAATTTTTGTTCTATCAATGGTCTAATAACCTTTTCTCAACTACTTTTTGGGGTCATCTCCATGGTAATTCTTTCAATGTCGAAGTACCCAATTGCCTAATAACAATAACACAGAATGTAGATGATGGTGCAAGAAGACGCTCAAATTTAAATCCATGAAAGATCATTGGAAAGCTACTACAACTTGAAAGTAACTTACGAAGAAGTGTTCTAAAATTAATAGATGGAACAAAAAGATACATTATAAACCATAAGGGATGGCAGAAGGGCATGAAATCTAACAAAGTCTATAGCAACTCTAACAATGAACAAAAAATTTCACCTTAGATTACAAATATCCACTCCAAGATTATCGAAGAAGATTTCTTCGGTTTCTGTCCACTTACTATGCCTAACAAAGATTCATAGTGGCAAAATGTTTCTCCTCTTTGATCATTACCATGATTCCCCCCCTTATAGAATTGATTGAACTTATATTTTTCACGTCTGTAAATCTTTCCATAAGGGATTTACTATAAATGATAGATGATAGAATCTTGTTATTATAAAATATCAAGAATTTTCCGATGGTTTTTATATTATAGAATTGATTGAAGAGGTTTGGACGCATAATTTTAAATTTGTAGGATCTCTCCTATTTGGTCTGTTCTAAACGGGGAATGTGGTAACTTCTACAGCTTAATTAATTAATTCACAAACGGGGAATGTGAAAAGGCTGTAGAAGTTACTTAGCTGTAGAACCTCAAACGAAAGTAACGAGTAATCGAGGATTCTAAACGGGGAATGTTGTAGGAAAAAGAGAAGAAGCACTCACCTATTACAGCATGCGTTGGAGGAACAACAGCTGTCGGTGCCCTTGCAGACAGTGCCAGGCCATTGCAGCGTCAATTTGAAGTAATCCAATTCTCTCTGTTCTCGTCCCTCCTTGATCTGCGAAATTATCGCATCCGCCGAAGAATCATTCAAGGAAGTGGATGCAACAGAGAGGGCGAATTGAAGAAAAAAGATGAACGGAATCATGGGAACCGCTTGATTTTGGGGATTGGCGGAGAGAGGGCTTATAGCCTGATCGGCAATTGGCTCGCTTTAGACAACAAAAATAAAAAATTGCTAAATATAATAAAATTAGTTTTTTTACTTTTACTTTTGGAAAGAAAGAAAAAAAAAACATAATTTTCTCCAAATTTATTTTTAAAATTGCTTTTTTTTTTTTTTAATTCAACCATACAACATCGCCTTATCATGATACGAGATGATGTCATACACAGCTAAACACGTCAAGAGATGACCTTACCGATGATGTCATACACAACTAAACACGTCAAGAGATGACCTTACCGCATAGATTTTAAATTTATATCCACATATCGACATTTTCATATATTCATAAGTTCGACGTTGAGACAAAATAAATAGACACTTGTATCATTTTTTTTTAAAAAAAAAAATAGACAAATCATCAACAAAAACACATTATTAATAATGTAAAATTTCAATTTATTTTTTAAAAATAATATTTTTTTTAATAAATCTTTTACATTCTGAACTATTGACATTTTTCATAAAATTCAAACCGACATTTTTGGGAACCACCCCTGCATCAAGGTGGTAACTGAAGGATCGCTCCCTCCTAAGAGCAAGATTGGACGTTATGGTAATACTCAGAGTGGTCATCAGTCTCTTAATAGTAAGAGACAATCTAGAAAGAATCATAATGTTTGCCTGTCAACCAAATACTCGTGTGGTGCTATGTGGCACAATCGATGATCCGATTGTGACTCGAGAAAGAAATCGTTAAGCAAGGATTTCTTACCGAATCTCCAATGGTGACCCTGTATACCAATTTTTACAGGTTGAAAGTGTTGTTTTTTGTGGTTTATAGTGATTTTACAGAAGAAGAATCTGAAGTCCATGCAGTTTGGATTTACCAGAAGGTTAAAAGAGAATAATCCATGAACATGAATCTATAGTAACATTCTCTAACAAGTCATCAAAATTTACACATAATTCAAAGGTAACAATATGCAAGAAGACTAAAGGAAATTATAAGGTCCATAAGATATGAGCCAAAAACAGTGAGAAAAATGATGGCTCAAATTCCATTTTCTATACACATTTCCCCTCTCTCATATGCCAACAACAAAAATACACATTCTCGAAACGAATTCAGTTTAACTCAAACGAAACGAACAAACACGATGGGCAGGGATGGAGAAAAGAGAGATTTCTAGCCTTCTGTCTTCGTTCAAAATACCGAAGACGAAGAAATGCTACTTCGAACTACAGCTTGAAAACAGTCTAGGAAATGAAAACAGGAACATAATGAATGGTACACAACTAATCATCCACCAAATCGCTCATGTTTATATTATCTATCAGACCCCATCATTTTGTTTGTTATGATACAAATGACAATTTTCTTTTCTTTTCTTTTCTTTTCTTTTCTTTTCTTTTCTTTTCTTTTTTACATTTTGTGGAATTCACCCTCATCAGAAGCTACTCTGCACGAAGAAAGAAAAACTATCATACACTCAAAAGGGTTCAGGAAAAACCAAATACGAGAAGACAAGAGCATAAGAAGATCATGAAAGCTCAGCTACGTTACTACTAAATCTAAGGCATGCATTCGTTTAATATGCATGTTTAATATGTTCTCTTATCCTTTACTATTTTTGTTTCAAGTTTCATCATAACAGAAGACCAATCCTTCAACCATGAGACACAATCCCACGCAAGGAATAAAATAATGATGAAAGATTATGATCAGAATCAAAGGAAACCTATAAATACATAAACAAACTTAAACCCATTAGCTAATTAAGCAAGTCTAGAATCCAATTTTGCCAAATACATATATCAACAAGGTCGAGGTGGTTGTCTCATAAAAATATCCTAAGAGCATGTACGCTGGCCCACACACACACAAACGTATATCAATGGAGGTATCCTTCACAACCCCATTGCATTTCTTCAGTTAGGTTGCAACTCTAACATGGCCACAGATGGTGCTAGTAGAAGTTGAAAGAGAACAAAAGTGTGATTCCTATAGAGAAGGAAGGTTTTAACTCTTAACACCCATAGTTTTCCATTGACCCTTCACTAGTAGGGGTGGAGATTCTAACATCTCGCCTTTAGGTCCAGGATATGTTTTGAGCTATGCTCAGAATGGCTAGTTAAATGATACCTTAACCAATTGTCTTCAACTCCTTTGAATCAGAAATCCTTTGGAACAAAGAGATTGAGGGTGAGTTCTTCGAGTTCAAAGAATTGACACGTTTTATACAAATGATAAGTCTAACAACTAATGGTTAAAAGGAACATTTAGTAGTCCCAGTTGGTGTGGCATTGAGATGGATTGGGTGTGAAAAGACTTTCCACCGTTGAGGCATTGATTAAATACTTCTTGAACTCCTTTTACTAGAATGAGAGAGACGAGCCAAGGGGAAGGAGAGGATGTGTTTTACAAGCTTATCAAAGTAGCTTCTAAAAGAGAATCAATGCTACAGTTATGTTTTTTAATCCTTGCAACCTTTTTCTACTCTTGCAACGAGATCTTCCCCATGATTTGATAACTTTCCACGCACATAGCTATGATTTGATAACTTTTACCTCCTTACCCCATTGGATAGAGAAGCAAATTCAGTGAACCAACCTCTAAGATTTGATAACTTTTCCATGCACACAGCTCCATCCTTAACAACAGTCCTTGCAAAAGCTCCACTAGAATATACTCCACCGATAAAAAGCTCCCACGCAACCTCCTAATGTGAAAAAGAACCTTTTTCTAGAAACTTGCCAAGGAACTCTTAAATAAACTACAAAAGAACGACTTAATTTCCACAATACAACAAGATAAAAATACATGGAATCTCTCGCATTTTGATAACATCCTAATCCTTCTAAGGGAATTCTATAGGGCCCAAGAGAAAATGGTCATTGTAGGTTCCAACCCTCTTTTTTTGTAGACTCCTAATGGACGAGTTTCTATTTTCTGTTTTAAGTTATATGATGGTTGGATGTCAATGCTCCTCTGTGTGCTCCTATAGGAGCAACAGTTTGTTATTGGTCTGCCATTTTGGGCTGGGTTTCATTTCTTGTATGCTTTTTTTTTTTTTTTTTTCATTTTTCTCAATGAAAGATTAGGTCCTTTCAAATGAGAAAGAAAAGAAAAAACCAACAAAAATGTAATCAAATGAAGAACAATTGAATATAGAATATACTTGAAAGATATAAATATACCTCAAGTATTTTTTTTGACACATTAAGTGAAAATTCCACCAATCTTTCTACAACCATACGAGGAAATAAATGACCTAGATTATGCCACAATGTCACCCCGCTACCTTTATCACTCCCATTTCTTCGATTTTTGAGGTCTTATGCTGTAGAAATTAAATGCAGAAGGCTTAGTTAGAAAACAATCAATTGAAAAGTCAAAACATGGATTAAGGAGATATAAGTTGGCCTGGGTAATCCTTATTTGCAGTAAGCAAGCAATCTACAGCTGAAAAATAATGGACCTCATATTACCTTACTTTTTTTGTGCCTATGAATGTCATTAATGTCATCTTCTCCATCATGCTTCCTTTTCTGAAAATTGAGTGAAGTTAAAAATTAAGAAACAGCTCACTTGGTAGTAAAAACAAAAAGACCACTTAATCCTTAATTTTTAGTAGAGAAAATATGGTATAGATCAATTAACTTCCCCGCCCTCAAGGCATGCTAAGGGTTTGATAGTCTAGGTAAAATGAAGAAAGTTCAGTGAAAGGGATACGAAAACGTCCATAACGTTAATGCCAATGACAGTCTATTCCTTAACTATCCCATTGTTATCTAATTTTGGTATTTACAAAGAGCAGGAAAAGAGTAAAGGTTTTCCAACCTTTTCATGATGCTTCTTCGAATGATCAGCGCCAGAATCTTGATGGGCACTTTTCTCTTTCTTCTTGTCCTTGTCTTTATCCTTACTTCGGTCTTTATGTCGATGCTTATGCTTCTTATGCTCTCTATCCTTCTCCTTATCCCTATCTTTGTGCTTCTTATGCTTTCTGTCTTTATCTTTGGACTCACTTCTTGACTTCCCTGGAATAGTAGCAACACCCTTCTCGGCCTAACCAAAGAAAAAAGGATGGATCATCACTTGCAGAGAAAAGAATCAGGACAACAAATGCTGATAATCGACCCGTTGCCTTGGTGAAATCTAAGTTCCAGCTAATTGAAGAAAGCTGAAGAAAGTGGCTCATTTTAACAACTTTAGTTAAAGATTTCTTACAGGAGGCAGATCAACAGGACCAGTTTCCCTCAGTTGGAAGGCTCCGATGAGAATATCTTGGTCAAATGGCTGTATGCGGGCATTGGTCTCTCTAGAATAAGAAGTATTCTGTATGAGTTGATTCAACTGCATCCCTTCCCCTTTTCTAATTTCTATGTCTCCAACCACGTTATGAAGATAATGTGTATCCGAAATTGACAATGGAAGCGACTTCTTGCAGAAAAAATCATGGTGAGGTAACAGCTTGTAGTGACTTATAAGATCCACAGCACCAGTCAGTTCCCTAGGCCCTGAAGGTACAAATAAAAATACACTGAAAATTCGGGTGACAAGATAAATATTTTTATAAAAAAAACATATAAATAAGTCTTCTATATATGCACATGCACCAGGAAAAAAAAAAAAAAAAAAAAAAAAAAAAA